AAATTAAGCAAAGATGATAAAAGAAGCTTAATTTCTGAATTTCGTAATTCGAACGGTATTGATTTTCATCGAACAGAAGTTTGTCCCGGGATGGAAATAGGCATGCGGAATCGTGACTCGCAGAATGATGGCAAATTGTAGCTTCCTTGAAGTATTCGTTAAACGGGATAGATTTGGGCAATTAGCAACTGCGGATGGCGGGTCGAATCAATATCGGTTCCTGTTCGTGTCGTTTACTGGTAACACAGCGTTCGCTCGCTGCAAGAAGCTATAAAGACTGCTCCTGAGCGATGCTCGCAACGCGCAACAACGGAAACGTTCCCAAACGTTCGATTCTCTCGTTGAGCTTTAAATAATTGTGGGCCCCGAACGTATTATTAGCGGAGCCGTTTAATGACAGGCGACATCGGGTCTCTCACGTGTTGCAAAGTAATTTGGAAAACATCTAATAGCTTGCAGGGACTGCAGGGAAGCGTTTAAAGCTTGATCGCGAGTCGCCACGAGCTTTCTACGATCGGCAGGCAATAAACCGTGCCCCGACACGATACCGTTAACGATATTTTAAAGTTGATTTCCCCGAAGAGAGAATTTCGACGAAACTTCTACCGTCGGAGAAAAAAAGGCTTGGGAATTTCTTCGAGTTAGGAACTCTTCTGGTTGATTTTTCGGGCCAAAGGGAGCTTTCCGTGCTGGCGACCTCCTTCGTAGCTAACACGGGAGGACGTGACCCGTAACCATCCGAGATTTTCCGAACACTGCGGTACTTCCCATTCATTCCACTAAGCGAAATAAGACCGTCTCCGTTGCGGCAAAGTAGAATAGGACAGGCGGAGGGCGGACGGTATTGCACTTGCACGGAAACTATTTAAGCAGAGGTGTCTTAAGTGCTCGACCGTTTCGAGAAATAACCATTTTGGTGAATTTATTCCAAAGCAGCCGATACGATAAACAGAATTTTCATCAAAGAGTGGATTCGAATCGAGCGATTTCGTTTCGCGAACGAGTCGGAAATGCCGGCGCGGAATTTTTCAAAATTATCTGGATCCCGAAATTCGCGTCATTGATGAAATACAGATAATACGGTTCTTTCAGAAAGCACGTATCAAAGAGCCACGGCAATTTCCCCGTGGCATTATTAGATCCTCATCGACCTACCCTTAAACCTTCGCGTGGTCCTACAATGCGTGCACCTTCTGTGAGGATAGAATATTGTCCTGTACCCTTAAATCCAGATGAAATTCTCCTTTTACGTGTGCCCTAAACGTATTACACGAAACTCCATTCGCTGCCTGGCTCGACGAAAAGAATAACATCGTGATGAAGTATCTAGGAATTTATTTATTTGTGCATTTCTCTCGCGTTCTGCGAGCTGGAAAATCGAACTCTTCGGCGATGTCGTATCGATCGAGAATGCTTTTACTTCCGCATTATTCACGGTTTATTTGTTAGCCGTATCGCGGAAATATTGCAGGAGGAGGGGGTGAAAGAAATTGTCAGACATTTTAATGTGCCTTACAACGATATATTATACGATATTTTGGAACAGAGAGTGCATTTATAGATAATACTAATGGGCAAGTTTGTATTTTCAAAACACGGTTAATGGCAAAATCACCGACGATACTCTGTCGCGCGAGATCGACGCCATTTTGTTTACTCGCGTCAAATATACACACCATTTCCTTTTGGGGCTGACAGAGTGAAACGCGTAAACTTGTCCACCTGTATTATTTTCATTGTCCCTGGCTCGACCAACACTTCTTTTTTTTTGCAACGAACAACAGGCTATAACGCTAAATTTTCTATGGCAGTTCTTCTTGGTAACTTTTCAAAGTCGCGTTCAATTTGTAATTCTTTTGTTTCTGCCAATCATTCGCAGCTAAAACCTTACGAAGTGCAATTTAAAGGATATTCTCTAGAACACGTGTCGAGGTTAAGGTCGTCGGTGCTGCGCCGCTATACCGTATAATTAACAAAATGTTCGCATGATCGTGCCGAATGGGTTCAGGTGTTAAACGCAATGAGGAAATTCATTCATTATGAAAGCGGTGTAAGTCCACGAACTCGAATGTTCCTTGACCCATAACATCGATAAAATCTAAGGACATGATGCAGTTATTACCGTGCACACCACCTGTGCGCTGTGATTATTTCAAAACCGTTCGCAAATGGCGGCAACAAATACGTACGAATCAACGGAACGTGAAAATTAAATCGAACTACGTACAGTATCGATTCGTTCGCGTAGTTTGAACATTTAAAAATAAGCTCCCTCGGTCAATGTTCCAAGTTGAGCGATTACGTGGCCGTAAAGCTGCCATTGCGTTTCCTTTAAAGCCATAAACTGTTTGCTCGCTGCTCGCCTAGGCAGGACGTCGGTTAATGGATTTTAATTTACGAAAAGAATACACGAAAGGGAGTTGAACGGAGGTCGGGCTGATATAGAACCTAACGTTTTTATCGCTCGTGAATAAAATTTGACCGACAGCCGGGAGCGAAGGATTCACGTTCGAAACCGAGTTTTCGGTGTTTCGGTCCGTTTTATCCACCCCCGGGGATTAATTCTCGGCCACGAACGAAGGGACCGAGGCGGCCCCGTTATTTTTACGATTCGTTTGGCCGTTTTCGCGTACGGCGGGGCTCGCACAAAACCGTCGGGGGCATCTTTCTAAATCGTCGTCGCGGCGGATTCTCGATGAAAGAGGAGCACCGGGTTCGTCCTCCCGGGTCTTGAATACGATCGTATTCGAGTAGGCGGCTATTATGCGCCGACAATGCAGTAATCAAGCTGAGGGGGGGGTCTCTCTTTGCCGCGCAAAAAAGGATTGCTTCCTTGACTTCGCCAACGGGCGTCGCGGCGTCTTCGCAGCGTCAACCTGCCCCTTAAAATTCTTTAACGCCTCGACGGTCTGTTGAACTTTCGAGCGGACGCTCAGAAGGCGTTAATTACACGACGCGGGGGGAGGGGAAAAAAATGAAGTGCCGTAATTATGACGTTTTCGCGCCACGTCCGGGACGGTCGCGATCGGGCGAAACTTACGATTTACGCCATTGTTCCGCCTAAGCCGCTGGCATTCATACTGACGAGGGGGCCTTAGAGTCGTGGACATTTGAAACGATAGCGTAAGTTATAGTATACGTATATCTAGTATCAAAAAACACTAATATGTTCCTTCGCAACGGGTCTTTATTTTCGAGATATTTTAAAGTTTGGTACACACGTTGGAAAAGAATTAAATGTACTTTATATATGTACTTCTGTTAATTATTGTGTGATGTTAATTATTATATGCATAATATGGCATTATTAGGAGCAAGGAAGACGAACATGTAGCTTAAGCTGAATGTGAGTAGGGAATACTAAATACTGCATACGTGAATTTATTACAAACTTGTTACCTAGTTATATATATTTTTAATTACTGTTATTTCTGTAAATGAACGATCTTAAGAAGTTACTTTTTTTTAAATTGTTTAAATTTTAATGGGAGACTCTAGAGGCCAAAATAAGACGAAAATCAAGAATACCAATTTGTTGATGGAGGCTTCGTTAAAAAGTTATTAACATTTAAAGTCCCACTCGTACTGAATTTTTTTTCTAGAAATCGCGTTAGATTTCGGGGGTATGTCTATTCACTAAAAATGATTGTTATTGACCCCCGCAACCGAAAATAATTTTTCCAAAACGATTTGAAATTTTTTTTCCGTCGAAACATTTTACACCTTCTCGAATTTTTTTCTAGAATGTGGGTAAGATTTCAGGGGTATGTCTATTCACCAAAAATGATTGTAATTGACTCCTGCAATCGAAAATAATTTTTCCAAAACGATTTGAAATTTTTTTTCCGTCGAAACATTTTACACCTTCTCGAATTTTTTTCTAGAATGTGGGTAAGATTTCAGGGGTATGTCTATTCACCAAAAATGATTGTAATTGACTCCTGCAATCGAAAATAATTTTTCTAGAATGATTTGAAATTTTTGAATTTAATTGTTAACAACTTTTTAACGAAGCCTCGATCAACGAATCGTTTTATTTTGGCCTGTAGAATCCCTTATTAAAATTTTTCCCAGGGGCGGCCGAACACCCTGTATATGACGAAAATATTGAAAGAAAAAATCCTTTTCTTCTGATTTTTAATACAAAAACCAGTAGCGAGTATAGCAGTAAAATAGCATTATACATAGCAACATCAAGGATTTTACTAATAAAGTTTGCACCTATTCGCGAGTGTATTAACGTCCACGAATATCATCGAGGGACGTTTAACGCGTCCGCTAATTATTTTAATTAAACAGAACCGCGTAAAAACGAGGCCCGCTCCGTCCATAATTAACAGATCGTCGACGCAGGAAAGGTATCCGCGAGGGTGGAATTAGCTTCGCAGCCGAGTGCAAATATCAACGAATGAAGTCGTAAAATGTAAATATACGTAGCACCTGCGCCAGGCGGCCACGAAACCGGAGCGAAACCCTTCGTCATACGTAGGGGCCGAAGGGGTTGGCGCGGATGATATATTTGCTTAGACCGTAGGGGTGAATTACGGTCGGGTTGCGGGATGTGTATCCGTCGTGGGTCTCGAAAGCGATTTATCGGGTTGAAATTCAATACGCGTTCGCGTCGCCCTTGTTTGAACTATTCATACAGCCGGGGGTGGCAGAAATTCGGACCTCGTGCGAGATCGAAGCGCGTGGCATTATTCTCTCGCTGACTTTCGCCCATTTCTTCCTACACGAGTCACGATATCGACGACGCGAATTCCGAACTCGGTGCAAATTTGCCTTGGTACGCTGAACCATGTCTATATCTCCGATCTGTGTCACACGGATCGCAGAGACATTTCCGGTGGCACGTGTTCCCAAGAAAATGCGATCGACCCTTTTATTTTGAAATTAATTCGCTCGTGGCTCTGAGCAAATATTTCCGAAGTAATATCGTCGAGATCGTAAGAGCGATTTATTCGTCGTTTTACTGATACATATTTTAATTACTGTTGCAGACTTGAGCGGAAGGGGGACGAAGAAATTCGGCGACCATTGCGTGGAGGATCGCGAATGCGGTTTCGCGGGATCTTACTGCGAGCCGAAGAAGAGCAAATGCGCTTGCAGGGACGAATTCGAGGCTACGAATCATATCGACAAATGTGGACAGCGTAAGTTAGTATATTTTCAAGCGCGCGGTGGATCGACGGATAATTAAAAATCGAACTGGGAGGATTTCAACGTGATTCGGTTTGAATATTCGGTATTCGTCTGGTACGCTCGCGAAAGGAGAAGAAACCGTCTGATTGCATTAATAAAATGTGTAACGATGGAACCAAGGGGCAGAGGTCGTCTTACATATTTCGTTTCGCGTTTCATCCAAGTCACGTCCGGGGAAGAAAAGTTTTCCCTTTGCCGCGGCCGACATTTACGATCGGAACGATATGAAAGTCGAAGGGTGGCTGCTTATAGCTTCTTCCCGTGGAATCTAAACGAGGCGCCATGGTTTTATCGGTCTCGGAAGGGTCGCGATGAATTAAAAGCAAGAACAGCGAATTCGGTATATCAGATTATGCTTCGAGCGTGACTCTGTTGCGTGGAAAATTTGTTACGAATCATTTTAAGCAACACGCAAATTACCCTCGAGAATTTTATCCAAAATCTAGAACGGATCGACCGAGCTGAACCGAAGAAAAGGATCAGCAACGAGTGTTCCTGTAGTTCTTAATTAAACGTGGCGTGAATATTATTTGGTGGAAAAGAGGAAAAATGACACGTGATCAGGATGCAATTAGTCACGGATTAAAGCTCGATCAATGTTACGCCACTCTCCTAATTGCGAGCTCGTGGTCGATATATCGAGGGCAGTGCGGGTAGATAATCAGTCGATTAGGTTTGCCACGCTAACCCTAGACGTCTACCATCGTCCACGGTATTAGCACTGTTAACCTATTTTGTCATAAGTCTCATACCGAGCAAGACGCTTTGGAAATTCGATTATACGAATAATATTCCAAGCGAAAACTTTTTCGTTTGTTTCGTGTATTTTCCGTCGGTTCAACGAACATGCTTCGACCTTTCAAATTTAAAATCGCCATCCATAGGAATGTAAATTAATGTTTGAAACCCGTTCAGTTCCAAACGCAAATTTTGTATCTTTTATACCCGCCTTTCGTTTTTGCCAGTAATGGAGATGGGAATTGGCGAACGTTTTTCGATAAAGTCTTTTGAACAGCTTTAAATGACAGGAGAGTATCGATTAGAGGGAAACAGGGGAATTCTGCAGGCGGGCCCGATATTAAGAAATATGGCCTGGCATTTATCGAGCCGCGGCGAGATAAACTTGACAGAGAAATTAAGAAACTGAACTCGGGATGAAAAGGGGGAAACTGTGGCAGTTTCTCCAGGCACGGCGCCAACATATTAACCGAGAAATTGCACGATCTTCTTGAACTGGATACCGAAAACTTGTACAAAAGTAAAACAAAGACGGTCGCCTTCCATCTTTTCAATTTTTATGCGACGACAACCCTTTGTGGTCGGCGCTACGATCAAATACTGTACAGAGAAACGATAACTGAACTCGTGTAAAGCTAATGATACTCGAACAACACAAACGGCATCATATTTTTTACCGGGGAATTTCGAAATAACTAACAAATAATGTTGCTGGCGCAGGTACACAAAATTGCATGCTATAACGGATGGATCACCCACTCTGTATGTTAATCATTTCAATATTCCCGTGCACGATCAACAAACAAAATTATCGAATACACGGTTCGAACGTTCGAGCCACCGAAGCGTAAAAATATACGAGTACAGGAAAATTCAAGCGTTTCTAAGCTCTAGTATCGCCGGACGGGAATCGATAAGTCCTTCGTGAACTTCTTTTTCCACTAAGTTTAACTAGAATTATTAAAATAACACGCGATACCGAGGCTCGCGGCGCGATAGCACAGAAGTTACCTCAAGCGGAAAGTAAAAAGTTTACGGTCAATTCGCGCGATCTACCACGAATGGAGGAACGACGATGTTTCTTTAATTTGCATGTCCATTCGACTCCGGTGTACAGCTGTCTGAGGGAACCGGGATAAAACGGGTAGAAATTTCATTCGAAGCGGCGGGTCGAAGTCTGATTGAGCCCGGATGCAACGTTGAATATGAATGCAGCTAAAACGAAGCTTACGAGGGGAGGTCATGACTACGAGATCGCCAATTTCAATAAATTTTATCTTATCCGTTCGTTACCGGGGCCGACAAATCGTTTTTATTATTTCGCCGCGGAACGTATTTCTAAAAACGTGATCCTCGACCGGGGGTTTCCAATACTCTCGCGTCTTCTGATTTGACACACGACGAAAGCAAGACTAAGTCTGTCGGTTCGAGGACGAGCAGTTGTTCGCGAAACGCGTCGGAGGAATTAACATCTTTGTAAGAATCGCTTTCTAGAGGGGAGACCGTGGAAAGAAAGGGAAAAGAGAGGAAGAGGAATGTTTTGAATACGCGACGGGTGGCGGGGAGTTTGCCGTTAATGGTTTTTGTTTTGCAGCGGCGAACGTGAACGAGTCGTGCTTTTTTAACGAGCAATGCGAGGCGAAGGTGAGCCAGACGGAGTGCAGAGACGGACGTTGCATTTGCATCTTCGAGAAGATCCCGGTAACGCAGCCGGACGGGCTGACAGTATGTGTCGGTAAGGAAACGAGGGGGGTGGGGGGAGGGTTGAAATTGCGGGAGCAAGTTTCGCGCGCACTTTTTAATGAGATTCCGCTCTCGTCCCGGGATGCACGGCTCGCGGTGAGAATGAGACGTTCCCGGTTTAATGGAATTCCGGCCTACAATCTCGCGGAGTTCGTTAATTCGTCAGCTGTCTTCCCCGCGATCAATTAAGGCGCGCGAGTGAACTTCGAGCGGGCCGGATTAAACAATTTGTGACGTCGCCTTCCGTGCTCGCCGCCAGAGGGTCTCTACGCTCTTGCCTTTCTCGCAAGCGCCTCAATGACTATCCAATATCTCGCCTGCTTCCTCCACTTAGCAGAAGCAGCGTCACAAATTGTAAACAACGTCACGACAATAGATATTTTCAAGGGTAGTTGCAAACATAATCAGAATAAAGCTTAGGGTTTTAAGTGGAGTAAAAATAATCGTGGAAAGAAGGACACACGCGCGCCTTTTGACAAATTTTTAATCGAAATAGCTGTCGAAACGTGCGTGATCGGCGTTTGAAATGCGCCGCGAGGCGATTTATCGTGTTAATGTTTCAGCCGAACAGAAGGAAGAACCCAATCTCCAATATGTCGACCCGACGATGATCGGTGTTCTTGTCGGTATGGCTCTCATGTTCATCATCATCTGCGTCGTTCTTAGGCTTTTCAGCAAGTAAGCCAACCATTTGCATATCTTTCGCGGCGACTCCTCGCTTTACCAATTCCCACGGCGAGAGTTTACGGCCCGCTTCTCCAGGAAACTCTACTCGAAAATGGGCATTTAATGTCACGCGCCTGATGTGAATTTAATGTCGATTTTTGCTGCTCCCGATACTTGAACCGCCGTAACTCGCGGAGTACGATTTTTTTACGAGGTTACGGTGGTTCGAAGGCCAAGGTTTCAACCTTCTGATTCGAACAAAATTCACGACCCCGGACCAACTCGAACGGCTTTGTCCCGGTTCCAAGATGGCCGCCGTCCGCCGTCCGCAGCCGGCAAACTTCAACGAACACTGATACTTCCCGAACGTGTTTCAGGGCTCGCTGGAACGAGAATCGTACCATCTTCAACACACCCAACGCCCGTCTGATGAACGTGTCCTTGCTGAGGGAGAACAAACTCCTGCACCCGCAGGAGAGACGCGGTTCAAGGGCGAGCGTACGGGTCCCCTCGAGGCAACCCTCGATGGCCTCGTTGCGCCCCCACTCGCCAAACGCCTCGCAAGGTGCGAAACACTCTCAGCACTCACAGCACAGAGTGAGCCGTACGGGTTTTTATTCATTCACTTACTAAGCAAGCAACTTGTTATACAGTGTCCCGTTGAAACGAAGCAAGCGACTCTTTAACGCGCCGGTATATCGGGTGTTCGATGGAAATCGAGCCGCCTCAACGTTTGGCCAGCGCCGTAATACCGATGAACGATAATCCCGATCTTCCTTCCCTCCACGCCCTCTCCCTCCCGTTGCTCGTAAAGTAACCTGGATCGAAAGTTAACGATTCTCCGTGTCGCGAATCACCGATTCCCACCTCACGTCCATTCTAAAATAAGAATCGCATTTCCTATCCGACCCCAAAGTTATGTTCGCGATTGTAGGAGCGTTCGACAGTGGTTTCAGAGTACTCGTGCGTGTTTAATTATTCAAGGTAAACGCGCGTCGAAGAAGTAGAACGTTCTACTAGCAACGGTTGGATTGGTGAATAGCTTTCTTATTAGAAATAACTCGTATACCGAGGGTGAACCGTGGTAAACGTACCAGTAGTTGACCACCAAAGAAAACGTGAAGAAATGCTGGGAAGCGTCATTGTTAATTTTTCTATTGAGAATATAATCGTAGATCGTTTTCACTTTTTGTGAAAGCGTCGACTGCTGGCGGATGGTCAATTAATAGTACTTTTACCCGAATAGAAGTAGATTAGTTGCATTCGAACGTGATGTCGAAAGTGTCGAACGATTTACGCGAAAGACAACGATGTCCTTTCCGCGACGAGGGCGTGATAATTGGCAGAAGTCGATTAACCGAGGAGGGCAGTACTCGAGCTAATTAGCTGTCACCAAAAATAGCCTGTCTTCCAGTACATCGATTTCCGTAGAACATCCCATATATGTACAATATAGATACGAGTATACAAAGTAGGTGACTACCTACTCTTGCCTATCTATCTTTACTTTAGAATCCTCCTATTAAACGCAGAATCCTTCTGAATTTCTCGCATGCACAATTGCCTGCCAAGAGGGTAGATAACTGCTAATACTTTCTATTCGAGTGTGCATCGAGATCGATGTGTTACATTTGGATGCATCGTTGTGACTGAATATTTTACGGTGTCCAAGAAAGTCTTGCCACCGACTACGGATCGTATAATATTTACACATCCTGGTACAATTAATTCAGACATGACAACTGAAATAGATTTCGCCATTCTGTGCAAAAAGGTGTCCTCGAAACTCGTGAATTCGTACCGGATACACGAAAGAGACAAGTAACTGTAACGAGAATAGAATCAGAAAACGTGTAAATCCGTCCTTTGAACAAAATTGCTAAACAACAGTACCTCTAAAGATAGTTAAAAAAAAGTGATCGAAGAAGGCTATGGAAACGTTCGAGAAACGTCAGAATGATATTATCGAAAGGTTCCCTAAAGTGTTGGCAGAACGATGCATCCTACACGCCATAATCATGTTCCTCTTTTAATGGATTTGACTCTCTTTGCAGTCGACCATCTATAGCAGTAGTCTGTTTAATGATCCCGTCTGTGACCGTTAAATCTTGATTATCATATACTGTGGACCTATGAGGTGCTCTATTGTAAAAAAAAAACTTTTCAAATTGACGCGTCCTTCGAAGAGGGTAAGTTTCGTATTCTTACGAGTCATTATAATAGCGTATTACGGTGTATCGTAGCGTGTTATGTGTTTCTGTACATATATAGCACTATGGTACTTACCCTCTTTCGGATACGTCAGAACTTCGGGACTAGAGTGTAACATTTTTTTAATTGAACTTTTTCGAGCCTGTCAGTTCTACCGATAGACCAGAACTTCCTCTATCCTAGCGTCTTCGAGGATCACGACTATAGTTGCTTGCTACAGTAAAAGATCGTTGCTTGCGTACGACGTATTCCATCGTAGTGATCCGCGTTCGCGACAATTAGACGTTACATAGTCAATTACCGAGTCATAGTTATCTCATTCGTACATCGAAACGCGTAGACGAAATTTGAATAAAAATCGACGCGACATTTTTCTTTCTTGTGTCCAGTCCCTTAACAACGGCGCGGAGATCAATTTTTATTCGTTCTCGAGTCTTTCTACTTCGAAACGTGAAACTCCGTCCAACAAACAGGATCAGTACTGCTGATCCAGGCCGTTGCAGAGAAAACAGTAATGGTCTGACTCGGTCTGGGATAGTTTAAGAGACAACGAAAGTTTTCAAAGCGGAAGCTAATGGTCTGGATTGTTCTGGGATAGTTTACAAGACAATAAAAAGGTCCTGGAGCGTAAAGTAATGATTTTGGTTAGCGACAGCTCGCAGGACGATAAAAACTTTCAAAGAGACAAGTAATGGCCGGAGTTTATCCAGGCAAATTTACAAGGCAGACGATAGTTTTTAGCTTATCGAGAAAAGCTATCGAAAGTAACGGTCTGTGTTGATACGATCAAATTCACGAGACGATGTAGGAACGAATAAATAATTATAAATTAAATATTACTGGTACCTGGGGATTGGACACAGTTTTTTTCTTAGTTTCCTCCGCGTGGTAGTGTTCAACATTAGCATAGCGTGTGATACGCGAGTCGCGAGATACGAGAATGGACCAAAACGCGCTCGAGTATCCACGTTATCACACGGAGTTCTGAAGTAGTATTGCAAAGGGACCAGTTTACATTTTAAGGAATGCAACTCGGTCGATCGACTCGGTTACACGGTAAGGTACACATTATTGATCGAGTTCACCGGAAATGAATAACAAGTCGAGCACGGAGCGTCGTTCCGTGTCGCGTACTTTTTTTCTTTTCCATTATGAAAATTCGTTGCTCGGTTTTGAGCCGTTGTTCGTCGGTGAATTCGATCGCGGAAGCATTCGTAACACCATTGGAGTTCGAGTTTTCAAGCACTTCTAGTATTAGGTAATTGCATGCGCGTGCACATACAGTGGCGGTTTGGAACGCGAGACTCCGGAGTTCCGTGTTCTTGCATGTCAAACGTACAAACGAAGCTACGTGTTTCGCTGACCAGAGGGGGAAAAAAAATTACGCGACTGCAAACGCTCGACAGTTAGGTTTTCCCCGTTGTTCGTTACGAGACCCGCAGAACCGTCGAAAGAACTTTGAGAATTTCTCGTATCGAAAATCGAATCGTTCGCGCGGAAAAATAACACTGTGCTCGTTCGTTCAACTTTCATACAGGGTGTTCGGTCATAACCTGGGAAAAATTATAATGGGGGTTCTGGAGGCCAAAATGAGACGAAAATCAAGAATACCAATTTGTAAATTCAAAAACAAATAATAATCATTTTTCGACAAAATGAAAAAATTTCAAATCGTTAAAAAAAAATTATTTTTGGTTGCTCGGGTCAATTATAATCATTTTTGTTCAATAGACATATTCTCGAAATCCTATCCATTTTCGAGAAAAAAAATCGAGAAGGTGTGAAATTTTTCGACGGGAAAAAAATTTCAAATCGTTTTGGAAAAATTATTTTTGGTTTCTGGGGTCAATTATAACCATTTTTGGTCAATAGACATATTCTCGAAATCCTATCCATTTTCGAGAAAAAAATTCGAGAAGGTGTGAAATATTTTAGCGGAAAAAAAATTTCAAATCGTTTTGGAAAAATTATTTTTGGTTTCTGGGGTCAATTATAATCATTTTTGTTCAATAGACATATTCTCGAAATCCTATCCATTTTCGAGAAAAAAATTCGAGAAGGTGTGAAATTTTTTGGCGAAAAAAAATTTTGCAAATCGTTCTAAAAAAATTATTTTCGATTGCAAGGGTCCATTACAATCATTTTTTATGAATACACATACCCACGAAATCCTACGCATTTACGAGAAAAAAATTCATTACTGAAAATACAATGTCTGACCATAACTGTCTGTCACCCTAAAAATTGGAAAGTTTCAAGTCATTCTGGAAAAATTATTTTTGATTGCGGGGGGCAATTACAATCATTTTTAGTCATTAAACATACCCTCAAAATCCTACCCACTTTCGAAAAAAAAATTCGAGAATGTGTGAAATTTTTCGACGAAATTAAAAAATTTCAAATCATTTTGGAAAAATTATTGTCAATTGCGAGGGTCAATTAGAATCATTTTTGGTCATTACACATACCCCCGAAATCCTAAGCACTTTCGAGAAAAAAATTCAATAAAACTTTAACGTTAATTAATTTTGGCCTCTAGAATCCCCCATTAAAATTTTTTCTAGGGTTGATCTAACACCCTGTTACATGTATATTCGTCGGTATTTCGTCAGGATTTTACGACCGCCACTGTAACTTTTTTTTCAACCGTGACAAAGAGCCTGCTCAGAACGATAGCGGTTTCTTCATGCTTAAACTTTATTCCGGCTTTTCGTGTCATGTCGAAGCGCCGTCGAGCCAAAGCACGCGATACTTTAGCAAGAAAATCTTTGTCGCCAGGGTCACGAACAGGATCACGGCGGGGAAGTCGCGGCAGCAGCGGGAACACGTCGTCGGTTTCAACGAAATCGAACAAGTCGCCGCCATATCAGCCGAACGCCATGACAGAGACCGTGCTGGATCACGTCAGCGTGGAAATTTTCGAGGCCAAGGCGTAGAAATCTGCACGTGAAGTCTTCTAAAATCCATCGTCGCCGTGTTTCGCGGCGGACCGTCGAATTAACAATCGTGAAAGTAGATCGTACGATTCGTTGTCGAAGCGACTCGACGAGTCTCTTTTTAACGTACAAATTCCAATCTCCGGATATCTTTCTTTTCTTCTATTTCATTATTGTTTTCTATTAGTAACCTCGTCTTACGTGGAGTATCGAATGTTTCTAGATTTATAACCGAGAGGACACTGTTAACGATTTAATGGAGATCTCATTGCGTCTTTGAAACGATGTACCTAAAGTGAATGTTCAAGGTGCGAAAAGTAATTATTGACGATCGAGGGAAACGATGTTACAATCGAGATAATCATTATTTACCAAGATAATCAATTTTCTTTTTTTATTCAAGACGGATGCAAACGTATTGGAAACTAGTGACATCGCTTCTTTTTGTTCCCTGAGAGTACTAGAGAACGACATTTTCGTTTCCATCCGAAATCACGTTGTATCCGCGATTTTGATAAATTGCTATGTAGAGAGCCACGCGACGAAACATAACGATATTAATGACGAGATGAAAATTAGACGAATATATTACGAAAATGAAATCTGAGTATTTTGCACAAAAAGGAATAAAAAAAAAAAACGAAGAAACGTGGGATAACCGCGACGACGGCTGTAGAATTTCGTCGAGAATTTCGGGGGTTGTCCTCACGAAGAGTTCTCGTAGATTGTTTCAGATTCTGCTGCATCTAAACGAAAACGAACAAAAAAAAGAAAACAGAAAAAACGTAATCTTTTTCTACGACAAAAAAAAAAAAAAAAAAGAAAAAAAATAAGCTTAGTATTACGATTCATCTATCACTATATATGAAGCACAACCTCAGCGTCTTCGATCTATTCGTTCGATTATCGACTCAAATATTCAAAAAGTTTCGTCCCTCCACTGTTTGCTGGAAACTCGGTATTCTCGCGTCGTTTACAATGTCATTTTGGACCAAACGATCGCGCGTGCGTTCCAGCATAACTTCCGCGACAGTTCATCGCTTACAAGCTAAAGAAAAAAAAAAAAACAACCACTCTAGCGGATAAAACAATTTCTATTTTATAATCGATAGATCAATCGCACGACGAGTTGATCGATCGTTCGGAAGTCCAGAATTCGGAATTCGCTAAGACGAAACGCGTGGCGGTGATTCGATCGGATCGTCCAGGAAAGATGATCTATAAATCGCGTTCCATCTTTCACGTCGCGATCGCGTCGATAGATGGGACGTTTCTGTCTTTGTTCTTTTTATAATCGTCAGCTGGTCTGATATCGCGATTCGAATCGTCGAGACGCGACGAAAGGGTTAAAAAAACTGTTAATTTCGCGGGAGAACCGCCCGAGAAAAGGGGGCTGAAAAGTCAGTGCACGCGGTTCCTCGTTCAAAGAAGTATGCTTTCCCGGCGCGATATCGATGGAAAAATGGAGAACCAACCGTTCTTCTCGCCGTCGAAACTGCTTTCACGAGAAGCCAACACGAAAGGGACCAGACGAAAGTGTTTGAAACCGACATCCTGGGAGTAACGTCGCGCGATAATTAAGCACCCGGTCGTAGCTCTATCTGTTTCACGACGACACAATGTAAAACGACTAAATCCGACACTCGTTATCTCATCGCCAACATTCGTCGAACCATTTTACTCGCTGTCGACTATCGATTTCGTTCGACCCTCCTCGCGGGCCACGAAGATCGCACCTGACGTTCGATAATCATTGTCAGAGATTATTACGAGACATTCGATGATCGTCAAGCCGGCAATCTTCGCGGTTTCGCGCGACGGGGGTGATTAATTATTTTCGCTGATCACTCGATACCTGTAAGTACCGCGACTCTGCTATTCGGGGTAGAAGTAGTTCGTCGAAAGGTTTGAAATCTGCTCGTGGTGACCGGCGTGTAAATCGATTGGGATGAATTATGCCTGAAACGGGGAACGTTAGGCGCCTCGGGGCGATTTCAAGCATGAGAGAAAGGCGACCAAATATGTATCGAACAAGTTCGTACGACTACCTTATTAATCGCACAATATCTCGTTCACGATAGCTTCGATCTATACATACTTCATACACACGCCGACACCGCGCGTATAGCACGGGACACGATATAGCGAGGTCGTAAAGTCGAGGTGTCAAAGTTTACGGCGTATCAGCTCTCGAAGCTGAATTTACAGAAATAGGAGCAGCTAGGGGCCTTGAGAGATGTTTTATCTAGTGTCGCCATTTTTGGAAAGCCATTTTTAGAGGTTTCGTAGGAGGTAAAGGTCTTATTCGAGTCTTTAATACCTTAATTTACGAGGCGTTCAACTCAATAACTCAACGCAACGCTAAAACTGACAAGAGGAGGACATGTCAATCTGGGATTTGAACGAAATTTAGCAGAGTTGCAGGGGTTGATGTCCAAACGCAATCTGTAAAATACCAGACGTTTATGGCTAGCCACTTTTTTTTAAAAACAGGCGTTCCTTGTAGAACTCATTTCAACTCAATAACTCAATAACTCAACGCAACGCTAAAACTGACAAGGGGAGGACATGTCAACCAGGGATTTGAACGAAATTTAGCAGAGTTGCAGGGGTTGATGTCCAAACGCAATCTGTAAAATACCAGACGTTTATGGCCAGTCATTTTTTTAAAAAAATCTCGACGAGGGGGACACAAAAGTTTGATACATTTTTTCCGCGTCATCGATAGTTTAAACAAAAGTTTGAGTAAACGGGAAACTTTGTTCATAAAGCTTTGATAGTACATCTTGTCTCTACGAAGTCTCTCGTTCGAGATCTCGAGCTTCACATCGTCGCAACAATATACACGTAGAAAATGAAAAAAGATAGTGCAGTCATGGACACAGAAAACATTGAGAAATTCATCCTCGAACAAGATCTCATGCACAGCCCTAAGTGCCGCAGCAGTAGTGGGTCCCAACGAGAGTTTACTTTACGACCTCGCTATAGCGTGGCCCGCGCTATACACACATCGAAAAGATCATTTTTTTCGTCGAGTTCGGGTGAATAACGAAGATCATCATCGATAGTCCGGTACGATTGTATCTCAGCAATTTAGTGCCTGCGCCCTCGCGTGTATAGCGTTCGCGCAAAGAGATGAGATTAATTAAATACAAATATATAGATAACGTTATAGAAATAACAGTATAAGAAGAAATAAAGTATATATGTATAAAACGTGTACACGCGCTTACACGTACACGTCTATGTAGCGTACACGTGTACGTATAGGCGCGTGCACGATATACTAGGCTTGGCACTATTTGCACTATTTGTAGATTACTTTTCGAATGCCTAGCGACTGTATCCACTCTGTGATCTATGTGCAACGTACGACAGATTCTTCTCGCTGAAAAACAACAAAAAAAAAAGAAAAACCATCGTCGTTACTATTCTTAACATTTACGGAGGATAATTCTTTAGCGTTAACATCTCGCGTGAAAGCGACTCGCTTAGCTGTTATCGTCCCGCACCTGATTCTCTCTCTCCTCGCACCCAACGAATCCACTTGTACAGTGTCCACTTGTACCTCGTGCAATTACTTTTAGAACACACGGGATTAGAAAACGTATTGTTCGATGACCGTCGAAATGTATGGGAAAGCTCGGTGGTAAAGAGAAAAATATGAAAAAAAAGGACAAAAAAAAAACTATATACGTAGAGAAGCTTAGGTGTGCGAGCGAATGCGAGTTCGAGAATACGAAGAGGGATCGATCTTGATCCGCGAACGAAATTCGGGGAAGGTTTCCGTTTACGGATAGAACGTTTCCTCTATCGCGTCCACCGCGTTTTAACCCCTTGCCTTACGATGTAATTTCAAACTGTGATTGCCAAAAGCGACACCAAGGCTTGGGCCAGGTAGACTCGTCAAGTCTCTGAGACGTTCATCTTTGGCCTGGTAGATTCATCACGTCTCTGAGAGGTTTTGTTCATCTTTGGCCTGGTAGACTCATCACGTCTCTGAGAGGTTTTGTTCATCTTTGGCCTGGTAGATTCATCACGTCTCTGAGAGGTTTTGTTCATCTTTGGCCAGGTAGACTCATCACGTCTCTGAGAGGTTTTGTTCATCTTTGGCCAGGTAGACTCATCACGTCTCTGAGAGGTTTTGTTCATCTTTGGCCTGGTAGACTCATCACGTCTCTGAGAGGTTTTGTTCATCTTTGGCCAGGTAAACTTATCACGACTCTGATGTTTGGCTTGGTGGACTCATCGCGTCTCTGAAACGCAATTGTAAGCTAAGGGGTTAAAGCAACACGAGGTCTCGAGAGAAACCAGTCCATTTACTACAATCTACGATTTAACTCGGCTATGGAAAGTAATCGTCCGCTTAAGACTCTAGGAGTAAACGTTAATTAATAGAGATTACAACGTATATTACTGTTAAGAACGCTTCGAGTCGTTAGTTTCCCTCCACCCTTGTGATAGGAAACAGAAGTATGTTAAAACCGAAGAGAACAAGCAGGGTGCCTCGTCTTTATCAGTCAAAGACACTCGCTCACTTTTGTACATCTATTCTATCAGCGTGGAGTACTCCCCGCGTTCCGATCTGGAGGAACACCTCTGCGATTATCGATAATCAATCTCCAACGATGATGCAACCGTAATCGCGTTTCCTTTCAACCCCCTAGGACTCCCATTCGTGTTCGTTCCTTTATGGGGGGACTTGATCGAGCTCAACGAACGTTTCGATGTCTCCGATTCGTTTTGTACACCCTCCTTGTTGGCGTGCTTTGCGATCTAGCTTGTCGGAGGAGCAACGATTCCGAAACTGTATCAGTCTCGTTGGTCGACTGTTGTGAGCGACGTTGCAGCAGGGATACGTGAACCGGAGGAACGAGGGCGACAGCATCCGTAATTGTTGCACAGGCGAAGCCTCGAGATCGTTTAAGATGTTTCCTCGCGACAGGTAGCGGGGATCGTCGATCGCCTCGCGAGAACGCGAACGATACGGTAATCCAAATATGGGGAAGTGTTTGGATTATCGTTCGATCGTGAACGGAAATGATTATTTAGTCAGCGAACGACAACTCCGTAACCGATGCCAGAGAAACATAGATGTATAATTAATTGTACGTATCTATGTATAAAATTGTATTAAGGCAAACACCCGCGACCACTTTTGATATATACTCGTGGCAACCGGACGCAGCGAACGAGAAACCGACGGATTCTTGCCGACAACGATCAAACGTCCCGTAATCAAAATTAGATACCTTTTCTAGACCCTTTTCGAGGTCCGAACAAGAATCGTGGCGGTTCGGTGAAGAGGATCGAGGACGAAGTATTCGTCGATCCGTACGAGTTTTCGCGATTATATTTTAATTCTATTGCTAAAATCTCACCGCGCTTAGCGATCCAAGCACCGTGGAGCTATCGTCGTTTCGATCAAAACGAATTTAACCGCGAAGAGGATCGTTTTGATGATATCGTTAACTCTTAAGCTCGAGCGTCCCGTTTCCTGTTACACGTAATAATCACCGACGAATTATCGTAATCTAACTGACCACCAGCTTGCTTTTTAAGGGACTACGTAGCCGTGTACACGCGTCGCGAAGCTTGAGTAGAATTTCTGAGGGCAACAAGTAGCTAACGTCCAGTCTTTTCACGCTTGATTTAATCGAAGCTGTTCGCTAGGTATATCCGGTGATCCGTCTCGTGAGCACGACCATCGATCCGTAGACTGTTCGCGTAAAATATTGTGATTCGACTTAGCGTATAATAAAGGAAAATGGTTTATTGTACACGTTTCCGACGATACGCGTATGCGTACACACACACACACACACACACGATACACACGCGAGAAGATGCATCCGCGAGACCCGTAGATCGCTTGCGATTTTTAATGGATCGCGTAACGTAAGATTAAGCTCTATTATTACGCGCTGCGTTTTCTGTAACATTTAAGAGCATCTCTATACGATTTTTAGACGTAAATACTTGAAATCTACGGAAAACACATACGTTTACAGTGATTTTATCGGTAACTGTTCGAGGCAACGTTTAGATATACTCGCGCGAGATTATATCGAATAGCGAATAGCGAATAGCGAATATCCTAGATACGGCGTGGATGGGTGCGGGTAAAACGTATGCGAGTCTCTCATTTTTTCAATTTTCAAATATTTTATAATGTCCTGGTATGTAACGAAAGTGGATAATATCGTTGAATTTTTGGCAATATACTACCCACACTATTTTACTAGCGGCTTAACCTACATTGTAACCTTTATATTATACATTTCATATTATAGCTTGTAACGAATAATTAATAATCTATTACAATTGTATTTGAAACTTAATTATATTCTGACTCTTCGAATTCATTTTAATAAAAACTTAATACACTGTACGGGATGTTGTGTCTAAAGCTTGTTATCATTCTAATAACCAGAGCAGTGTCTGCATAAAGCGACTG